TTTTTGAATTTTTAATTGTGTCGTTATTGTACAAGACCATCGATATGTATAAGTCTACCTGTTGTGAGATAACAGAGAACTTATCCCGATCGCTCTTACATAAGAAACTTAAAGCTTAAACAGACGGCAGCGTTGATCGGGATTAATTCCTAGAGTTAATTCCCAAACATAACTCGGATCAAGGGAACTACTTCATCCGCGGTAGTGGTGAGTGCTGCGTACTACAAGCCTGCCAAAAAATAATTTGTTTTTATTGTTACCTAAATTTATTTTTTAAATAAATTTTTTTTTTTTTATTTATATGTATATCTAATTTTACTTTTTTTTTATTTTCGTTTGTTTTATTTTATTTCACTTTTTTATTATTAGTTAAATTAAATTTTTAGTTTAATTTTACTAAAAAGTCAAAAACAACCAAATAAAAACAACTTAAAAAAAGAGAAGTTATAATTTAATGAATTTAAAAAAAAAGTTAAATGAATATTCTACTGGTCGTGGGATTCGAACCTACGACCTCGCGGCCCGCATTACTGTCATCTTTCAAGGCACAATTTTAATAATATCGGCGTTAATCCGGATCAACATTGCCGTCTGTCTATGCTTTAACACTGGTTAGGTTCAAGTTCGCAATATAAGCAAAGTTGATTCAGCTCTTGACTATCCTGCAACTACCCTGGAAATAACAATAAAATGTAAAGCTTAAGCTGAGCTACTGAGGCGTATTTTCTTCTAAAAGAAATTGATTGGATATTTATAGTGAAACTTTTTGAGTCATCTCGAGCATCTCGATTTAAAAAAAAATATGTACTTCCACAAAAGTACGAACCAGGTATCCCAAACGTTACCTTACAGGTATTATCCTTCGTAAACGATAAAGTTGAAACCGTTAAGTTTAAAGCAACAAAAATTCCTAGTCTTTTGGGTGCTCCAAAGTTATGTAGCTGTAAAATGTGTAATAAAAATTCGCACAAACGTTAACGACGAAAACTATGAGCAAAAACAATTATGACGAATAGGTAGAAGGCAAATCACTAGCGGCTAGGTATGGACATTAGGAAGCTAGCCTTGAAGGATTTAAACGGAGGAGCATGTACTAGTAGAAGAATACTTGTATGCCTAGCATACACGGCATAAATCTTGCGCTATTAAAATTCAATAAAAAAATTTAAGGGATTCCCCATATTTTTTTTTTTTTTTTTGTATAAATACATACATATGTAGGCCCTTACATATACGCGATATGCTCTAATTTCAGTTGCTTCTTGAAGGCTGTGCATGAATTAATTGTTCGCCCATTGTCTATTAATGTCTACGANTACTAGTAGAAGAATACTTGTATGCCTAGCATACACGGCATAAATCTTGCGCTATTAAAATTCAATAAAAAAATTTAAGGGATTCCCCATATTTTTTTTTTTTTTTTTTTTTGTATAAATACATACATATGTAGGTCCTTACATATACGCGATATGCTCTAATTTCAGTTGCTTCTTGAAGGCTGTGCATGAATTAATTGTTCGCCCATTGTCTATTAATGTCTACGTAGAAAAAAAGCAAGCTGTAAAATATTCGATATGGACGAAAAGTGGCTTCACACTGAACTAGAGCGTGTATTTGTTGTATGAATGAAATATTTATGGCATGATGATATGTACATATGTATGTATATGTCTATACGTTAAACCTCGTGCATTGCACTTTCTACACTCTCAACTATACGCATGAGTCGCACTGGTGTAGGACAAAAACTAGCGCCTAATTCTCTAAGGACACACAAACAGGCAGAATCCAACACAATGGTCATTATTGTTTTGGATAATTGAGGGTTGTTAAGCCAGAATTGATATCTTGGAAGAAATTCCGAAATATCGAGGAAATGTTCGAACGTTAGCGGAAAGGTGTTTACTAACAATAAAAAGATTCATTTGACCATACATATGCAGGTACATACGTATTTACATGGAACTGAAATCAGAGGTGTTGCAAGCATCAAACGGTAAACGTGAATGCTTCGCAGGTACACAGGTATGCAAAAGTCAATGCGTTTTACAATAGAGGTAAAGTGCTCACATTAAATAGGCGCTTCTCTGCAAGATCTGTTGCAACTACCTGTGCATGGTTAGCAAGGAAAAGTAGCTGAAATGTGAGCTCGGTGATATATAAAGCGAACGCACTTCTAGCTGGAGCAAACATAAATCACTTAAACAGGAAACAGTCAAGACGACAGGCGAACACTACGGATTACCAGTTACATTTTTTGAAATTATTCTTCATAGTTTTCAAAGTATCGCCATGGCGCAGTCAAAGGAAAATGATGTATATAGCCATAAAAAATTTGATCGTTCTTTTTATGTGCATAAAAAATTCGGTGCAATAAAATTAGAAGAAGCAAAAAAACGCAAGGCCGAAGAGTTGGAGGCGAGAAATTATAGATTCCCTGTAGAAATATTGGATGTAATTATTATAAATGCGCCCAAGCGCACAAAGCTGGCTGAAAATGCAAAGTCAGCAGAATCGTCCACCAACAGCCAGAACAAAGGTCGTGAAGCAACTTCAACAGCGGCGACAGTGTATGGTCAGCACAAAGCCAAGGAGTTGAAAATCGCACCACATCCGCCGAAAATCCAGAAGTCATCGACTACAAGTACTCCCACATCACTAGTCCCTGGAAATAGTAATGCAAAATCAAGAAAAATAAACGCACAGCTCACACAATCCCCAGCCAACGTTTCGATTGCGCCCATCACCATTGCAACAATGCCGCTAACGCCGCAAATAGCATCGGTCTTGCATGTCACACAGCCAGCACCCAGCACTATCGTAAAATCGACTGCTCCATTTCCGTCTGCATCGACGACCGCGTACTTCAATCAAACACCACCACTGTCGCCGGTTTATGGTTTGTCAAACAGTTGCTTGCAGCCAGTGCCATCGTCTAATTTTGACTCTTACTATGGTTGGTATAACGCTCAGCCAACAATGCAATTTAATTTTACAACACCCACCACTACGTCACAATACCAGCCGCCAATGTTCTATACACATTTGCTGCAACGCCAAATGCACGCGATGACGCAACGCCAAAGCGCAGTTGGGAAACGCCAAGTATCCACAGCTGTTTAAATAATTTCGTGGTTTGAAAAACCAGTGATTCACCGTATACCTTTAAGCTTCCAAAGCTCGTTTTACATTTACAAATATGATAACTAAAACTACATACAAGATTAGAAACCCTATATACATATAGATTTTTACTAATTGAACATAAATAAATGTTTGATGGTCCACATAGATAAAAACGATTTTGTATTTTAAACGCATTTATTATTGATCTCTACTTTTATATTTCTTTTTGAATTGTGATTGTTTGTGTAAAACATGTGTAGAATGCTCTTCCTAAGATTAGAGACAACAATCCTATTGTAACCGCATGTAGCCGCCAGCCATTAATGTTTGCGGGTGCATTAGGTCTTGAACTGAATTGAACCGGTTGTAGCGAGATCGAAATGAGATTCGCTGCCAAAAAAAAAAAACATCACAAAAATTATACTAGTTCAATTGGTGCTAAACTATACTCATGTTGTATATGCAAAACGGATAAAGGAATTGACCAGAATTGAGCCGGCTGTAGCGAGATCGAAATGAGATTCGCTCCCATAAAACCATCACTAAAATTATACCAGTTCAATTGGTGCTAAACTATAAACTCATGTCGTATATGCAAAACGTATAAAGGAATTAAGATGACTACTTTTTTGACAGTATGCTAAAAATCTGGAATTAGCTTATTCCTAAGGAAACTAGTTTTTTTATCCCTTAAATCTCAGCCACATTACGTTGTAATTAATTACGATGAGAATATGTATGATGTTGTACGTATGCAGTATTTGAAGCATTTTGTTTAAAGTATTATATATATAATTCCACCATTCTTACTTAAATATTCTTGATTCGAATTTATTAAATGAAAATACATAGTTGGCCCTCCAACGCACAATATCTAAATTCTAAACATATATGTATATTAGGGCCACCCCCAGAACTGGAGAATATCGAAAATAAGGAGTCCCGTATTTTCGATTTTGAAATCAGTTAGTATGGGTGAATTCCAAAACGTCAAAATACAAGGCATCAGTCTCTTTTATTTCTAAACCGCACTAGAAGAAAAAGTCTAACTTGCACAACCTAGTTGAAAAGTAGTATCAAACCATGGTTGCGCACATTTGACATTACAATCTGCTGTGGTTTGGAAGTAGAAGAGACCGATGCTTTGTATTTTGACGTTTTGGAATGCAGCCTATTTAACCGTGTCGACGGGGCTTCGAAGTTTTCCATATATTTTACATGGGGAAAAAACAATTTTTCATAAAACTGCTGCAACATCAATAAGTAAAAATATTTTTTTATCAAATAAAAGATCTTCAAAAAATAAAATTATGAATATTTATTCACCTTTAAAAACTACTTTTTCATAACCGATAATCTTATATATTATCTAAAAAATGTGTAGTTTTACGTGTTTGTTGTTTAGAAAACATAGTTAGCAAACTTTTAAAGCTAAATAAATATGGATAATTTAATTTTTTGAAGTTATGGTAAAGAAAATATAAGTAGTCTCCGCCCCACTAACACGCTCAGGATAACGCACACTGGGCAGAGAACTCCTTTCCCTTACCGCAGTATTATGCACTGATGTTTCCCCCATTTTCATGAGACTTCCTTGAGGCTCATAGGAATCCGAGGAAAAGGAATGGATTATTGAATTTTTTAGTGTTCGCCCTTTCAAGTTGGAAAGGCGGGAGATGCCACGACCTCTTCTTTTTGTGCACCAGCCTCAAACTATCCGAAACTATTCGGAACGATTTTATAGCAATCCTACGAAAAAATTATTTTCCCCATATAAAATACATATATAGGGGAACTTCAAAACATCGACGGCACGGTTAAATATTAACCGAATACAAGGAAAAAAAATACGAGTCTCCTTGTTTTCGATACTCTTTACTTCTGGGGCCGCAGCAATAAAATAACAAAAAGTGTGTTTCCTGCGTATTTTTAGACCGATCTAATGTATATGTATGTTCTTAAGAAAGACTTAACTATTAAAACCCAAGCGATCAAAAACTGATGCATAACTCTTTTGTTGTGTTTTTCTTTGTAAGGTAGGCGAGTTCTTCGAGATGTTCACTTTGCCGATTCGCTTCGAAAGTGCTGAGACCGTTTTTCCTTGCATGGTAGTACTACTTATGTTACTGGGTCCACCTAATCGACGATGTACTGGTAATTCTTGGCGCATTAAAATCTCGTCCGACTTTAAACGCATAGATTTAATTTTAACTGGGCTGAGACGAGATTTTGCATTTGCACTACTGGCAGCTTTTAAGTTATATGTTTTCTTTGTGGTATGTAAGACTGTATCTATTAAACAAATAAAAATTTACGTATTAACTTAGGCGTGGTTCGGTCTAAAATATTAAATCATATTTGTTTAGTTTTAACTTACTTAAACCCAGCCTCGACTTAACGCCGCCTGCAGCATTTCCTCCACCGCTTGCTTTATAATTTCGCTCCTTAGGTATTTTTTTATATCGGGGCTCCGGTACTATTTCATGCACCTCTGCTGTGGAAGCGAATTTCACTATCTTTTCGCTGCTGCTTACAGCATTCGAACTAGTGACAATATCATCCATATCCACTTCATTAACACTAGTCATAGAATCGTTATCGTCGTCATCACTTTCGTTAGTTTTTAATGGCACCTTCTTTACTAGTATGACCTTTTGCTTTTGTGGATTCAAACGCACTGGGGACACACTTGAGGCCACAGCCTTAGCTTTAACAATTGCAGAACGATTCTAAAAATAATGTTGCGATTAATGAATACATATTATTTATATTTGTGTTTACTTCTACTTACGATTGTTTTCGGTGCATTTTTAAGTATTGGTTTAATATGTTTTGCAATTACTAACTCATCATCTGAATCTCCTTGTGTTTTCCCACCCAAACGGGAAAATATAGATGAACTGCTGGTTGTCTTATTACTTCCATCGACGCCAGTAATCCGTACTCGTACATTGCGAATAGTACCACTCTGTAAATTGCTACTAGTACTACTGCTGCTAATTTCACCATCATCTGTATCATCGTTGGCCAAATCTATAGTCGAAGCAGAGTTTTTAGCTAGACGTTCAAAAACTTGAGGACGTTGCGTGCTTTCACGATCCGAATACACTAGAAAATCCGAATGATTCTTAAATTCATACTTTACAGAAAATAACACTTACATTTTTCGTTTTTCCGAAGTATATCCTTGCTGCGCTTTGTACTGCCAGAGGGAGGAACTTTTATTTGGTATTTCCCCTCATGTTCGGTTAAAACTCGTCGCGGTTGTTTGGGAAGTAATGCTTCAATGTCTTCGGAAGTCTTGATGCGAGCTCGATTGTTAGCGCTGATTGAAGTGCTTGATGTTACGGGTACCGCTGTATTTATAAAAAGATATAATATTTACATTACATTTTCACGTTTCAAATTCTTAATGTGGATGGAAAAAAGTTTTTTTTTCAAATAATAATGTTGATTCCTTACACTTTAGTTTAACTTTGGTAGTTGTTGAGGGACGCTCATGCGATGAATGAGGATTTGCAGGGACAGCCGCGATTGGTACACACATTTCTGAATTTGTCAGAACCTTTTCGCGAGCAGTTTGATCACTAACATTCTTAGCATGCCTTATAAAAATTTAAAGGAAAAGCTGGTTATAATTGTTTCACTACTTTTTTTTCGTACACTAACGATACATGTAACCAACGTCCGTTAGAATTATTAGGTTTGCATTTCTTAAAAGACTTACCTTAATATGGCAATTATGTCGCCCATTGGGGTTATGCCCATTTCCCGCAGATATTCTTTATTGAGATCCATAAGCATGTCATTTTGTATGCGATTCTCGACAAATATGTGTGCGTAAGTTGCTGCCGCCGGGGATGGTATGCCAGAGGCATTGAAGAACTTCACCCATTGTGCTGATAAGAAATACATTTTTTTCAATAAATCGAATCTCTTGGTTGCGAAGTATTTATGTATATAAACAAAGTACTATTCAGTTTTCTTTCTTCCGGTGCCGAGAAATTAGGGTCGCGTAGCGTAAATCAAATATTTGCACTCACCTGCCGCTGCGTTAGACATAACAGAAACTTTTAGAAGCACATTTATTTTAAAGAATCAATTGTATAAATTATTTTCACTTGACACAAGAAACCTCCCACTGGCTAAAAATAATTTTCCGTGTGCTGAACGGCAGCCATTAAATGTCACTTTTTAAACGTCAAAAAGTAAAACAGTAGAGCGCTGCATTGCCATATCTTTTTAATGTAAATTTTGTGTAATTTCCTTCGCTTTGCTTGACAGTTCGAACTTTAACAACGCATGAAGCATAGAAGGTATGCTTCAATAAAAGCTTTGACAGCTTCTGCGTTCTTCTTTTCCTCTAATATTTTATCTGTGTAAAATAGATAACAATATAGTTATATGTATTAAGGCTCTGCATACAGCTTTCGCGTCGCTTGAGCTGGGCGCCACCTTTGTTCGCTGCACCGTGGTCCGAAAAGCCTGAAAGATGTCAACTTTCGAACTTTTTTCTTTTCTGGCGTCGTCTGAGTTATTTATTCGAACATTACAATGTCGTAATCGATAACACTTACCATATTTTAAAAGGGATTTTAAACAAAGTTTAGGCAATAAAATGCAGCTAAAACTTTTTTATTGTTTGAACATTATTATGTAAAAGATAAGAAAAGTACTGAATCAATCAAAATGAAATGGTAAAAATAGTATAACTTTTATCGAACTCTAATTGTATAGTTGATATCTGATTTGTCGGGAAACTCATCCCAATAATTCTGGGTATTTGTCAACAAAGTAAGTTCTAAAATTTTACTAAATAGTTTCTATTTTATAAAATAATCATTTGAAATTTTAAAAAGAGAAAATTCAATTGTTTTTAAATATTTACTGCGTGCTTATATAAAGAAACTTCAAGCGCGAAAAGCTTGTTGTGGAGTTGCTCGCGTGAAAAGCCTGTAAAGCCTGAACGACTTCGAAATCCGCAACGCAAGCCAAAATTATTGTAAACGCACAATTTAGGTAAAATGATGCAACAAAATGCTTTAAAATGTGTTGTCATGTTGAATTAACTCTTCTTTACTTGAATAAAAGTGTAACTTTTCTCAAAACCAGTTACAAAACGTTGCGTTCTTACGTGATCTTGTATTTTTAGTTCATGGGGTCGCATCAGCAACCATTTTGCTTTCACTTCTGGCTGTCATGATAATCAGCTGATTTTGTCATTGTAAATAGAAGTTGCACGAATACGCGTATTTATACATACAAATGCATATTTATTTAGGAAATTCGAGTAAAGTGAATATTTATTGTTAACTTAAAATTTAATATCACCCAAACTCAATTACATAATGCTTTTAACAAAAGTGCTAACGCATTGCACTGCCCATAAAATCAAATGGGTTCTGCCCCGGGCTCCACACGGGCAACAAAATCGTCTATTATCACTCACCAGCCGATTAGCCAACAAGGATTCTCTGACCATTGCAGATAATAAAACACAGAAATATTTAGAAAGTTTACGTGTCGAGTTCTATAACTTACGAGCGAACCCTACAGCACAGTCGCAGTCGCGTCTCAACCGATTAGATGGAGTAGTTTCTGCACTAGAGCAATATCGGTTACTAAAAACAAAAATCGCCAGCAAAGAAGATATTTGTAATGAAAAAGATGAAGAAATGCGTATGTTGTTGCTGGAGGAAAATAAAGTAAATTTATAAATACCGAAATATGAAGCAATCTTATATAATTATTGTCGTAACTTTTAGGTTTATGGAGATTTATTACTACAAACGGAAGAGGAACTCTTCAATCAAATGCTTGTCTTAACCGAGGATCAACAATTCGATTCTATTATTTTTGAAGTGAACGCTGGAGCTGGAGGGCAAGAAGCAATGCTCTTCGCCCGAGAACTTTTTGATATGTACACCAACTATTTTGATTACAATGGTTGGGCCTATGAAATTATTGATAACGAAGGGACAGATATTGGAGGTTTACGTCATGGTAATGTCATCGTTCAAAATCGTGCCGCGTTTAATCAACTGCAATATGAAGCCGGTGTGCACAGAGTACAACGCGTACCAGCAACAGAAAAATCTGGTCGCTTACATACCAGCACCGCTTCAGTGACCGTGATTCCACGACCTGACGACGTTGATGTTAGGATTTCTGAAAAAGATTTAAAAATTGAAACGAAACGTGCAAGCGGTGCTGGAGGTCAGCATGTAAATACTACTGATTCTGCAGTGCGTGTTGTCCACCTGCCTACTGGTCTTGCTGTGGAATGTCAAACAGAGCGATCGCAGCTGAAAAATCGTGAGCGTGCTATTCATCGTCTGCAAGCTAAGTTGGTACAGCGAGAATTGGAGAGTAAAGAACTGAATGAGAAGCGCACACGGAAAGCACAACAAGGCAATTTGAATCGTAATGAAAAAATACGTACTTACAACTTTGTGCAAGATCGCATCACTGATCATCGTATTGCCAATGGCACTGTACATAATTTAGAAGAGTTTTTTGAAGGAACGGAAGATTTGGAAAGACTTATACAGCGAATCGCCATCGAATTCAGGCGTGCAAAATTAACAGAGCTAATTAATAATTTTGAAACCTTAGTAAGAGAAACTGGAAACCACATCGGCGATAAAGTTAACTAAATATAAGTACTAAGTTTTTAATATAAGAAATAATGGTTTATTTATTTTGCTATATTGCTCCAGTCTCCTGCTGAACCCATTTGCATTAGATGTTTGCGTACTTCCTTTTCCATAATAGCTTGTATTTCTCGACAGCCATTCAACGCCTGTTCCATCACAGCTGGTAGATTGTCGAGGTGAAAGCGTTGAGACATTTCCATGAATGCGATTTTGTTTGACGTCGGCAGTGATGCAACTGTCAATGTTGGACCGCCAGAAACCTCCTCGACGTGCGATACATCCGTAAGTGGTATATTAGTTTTGCTCAATGAAGCGGTACATGCAACAACATATTCTTTGAGACATATGCCTGCATCTACTAGTGCTAATGTCGCGGCATTGAGTGCAACTGCATAATTGGCTCCATCAGCTTGTAATACTTCANCATGCAACAACATATTCTTTGAGACATATGCCTGCATCTACTAGTGCTAACGTCGCGGCATTGAGTGCAACTGCATAATTGGCTCCATCAGCTTGTAATACTTCCACGTACACATCGATTTGTGAACGTGGATATAGCTCAGTCTTAATGGCAGCGCGTAGAGCTTGCCTCAAATACAAGGTGATTTCTTGCGATTTTCGGTCGCCACGTGGTCTGTTCTTCCGTTCTGCTGTTGAAAATGTCGCCATACTATATTGGCAATTAATGACCACTTCATTAAGATCAAGCTTATTGCTCTGTGCCTGATGGGGACCATAAACGGCGGCAAGCACTTTTGTATTGCCCTGCTCCAAATACGCACTTCCATCAGGTTGTTCGAATACGCCAAGTTTGCATTTAATGCAACGAAGCTCATGTGGACGCCTACCATCTAGACGTAGTCCCTGCTCGCTAAGAAGCTCAAAGCTAGACATTTTCGAAATGATCTAAATAATGTATTAGGGCCAGCTATCAACAACGGAGTGGGTTTTTTTTTTTATAAAATGCACGGGATTTCGATGGCCAAATGTCAACTTCAGTGTTTCGGTCAAAGATAGGTATGGCAGCGATTAATCATTTGATTAAATTAATCGATTATTTTTGTCTAATTTACGATTTAATTGTAGCGTAAACTATGTTCACATATCAATATTATCTCAATCAAAGCTCGTTTTTTAATCACCCCGTTTACACAGGAAAATCTCAGATTATTAGCCATCAAATTTGTTGTGCTTATGTTTCTTCTCTGTGCCACCGTGATCACGTTTTTCTGCTATAATAAGCAATATAAATATATTTTAATTTAACATTTTATTAAAAATACCTTTACAAACCTCTTTTACTTGCTGGCGTACATTTTTGTTTACTTTTACATTTGGCATTTCTCCTCTCTTTCGCAAAAACAATCGATAAAACTAGGATGGACACCGAAAAGTTATCGGTTAAATCTGAGATTATTTTATAATTACAGATTAACAAGGGACGAATTTTATATGGCTAATCTCTTGTTATAATTACAGATTAGGGTGTTAAGCTCGAAAATGACGATAATCTACTTATATGTGAATCTAGTTGTAGTTTCGTGTTTCATGAATCGGCCATTGATCGATTAAATGATAACAATCGTCAAAATATTTTCTAGAAATATGAATTCGGCAGCTATATATGTAAGCAGAAGAACATTTCAATAATGGGCACATCTTCAAGCTGAGTGTAAACGCTGCCAAAGCGACGGATTCATTACGTCAGCTTCGGCCAGGTTTTAGCAACAGAATATGAATTGAACTACGAAAAAATTTGTACAAAACAAGTAATTTTTATCAAAAAAAAACCGACTTAAAAAAAAAAAATATATATATATATATATATTTCATAATCCATGGTATGNATATATATATATATATATATATATATTTCATAATCCATGGTATGGGACCACCTCTACACTACCTCTCCGATGCAAAAAGAATTATCGAAATCGGTTGACGTGGTCCAAAGTTATGCGGTAACATACATAAAAACAAAATATTTCGACAAACTGATAACCTCCTCCTTTTAGGGAAGTCGGTTAATAAAACATTTGTACAAAATAAAACACAATAAGTTGTTGAAGCCCTGCCCTTAATGAATTTAAGCAAATATATTCATTTTAAAATTTATGATATTGTTTTCATATACGCAAAATTAAAATTGTCTGAATTCATTTCAGCATCTCGCTGCCTTGACCTGTATTGCTATACTGCTGGATAAGCTCAATGAATAGCTCCACTTTCAGGATAAACTATATAATGGTAACATCATCACATTTATAATTTGCGTTTATCTAACGCAAAATTACCTAAGTTTATAGGTTTAACCAAGAGAGGATGGAAGTTCATGTTTCCTCAGCGGCAACATTGGTGACATCAACGGTTTCATCATTTACTAGGAGCTGCAGTAGTTTAGACGGAAATTATTATTAAATTAAGTTATTAGTTGTTTAAGTGTATACGTATGTATGTATGTATGAATGTACTTCCAGTCTTACATACAATAAGTATGCAAGCAAATTGAAGGCTAGAAGGGACAAAAACACTTTAAAATTTAAGCCTAAACTGCAAATAGTTATATATGTATGTATGCATGTATTTTTAAGCAGTTTTGATTTGTTTCTAGGTAGTTTTTCAATTCAGAAAATTAGTTTGGCTTTAAGCCGCTTAAAAAGGATCAGTCCAGCGCCTTCGTCTTGACCTGCGGGCTGTGCGGGGTTACAGCCGCTAAACTTAAACGTAGAATACGTGATATTATTAAGATCACATTCAAGTTAAAAACGGTACATGAAATATTCGTTTTGATTGTATTGAAATGGATTTAATAAATCAATATGAATTGCATAGTACGAGGTACATACATACATACCTTAACAAACAGATTACGTTTCTATATACATAAGTATGTATGTATGTAAGTATATATATCTTACAAAAAAATTAAAATATACTGAACTTCTTATGAATATTGGGAGCAGAGCTCTCGTAGAAACGAAGAAAACTGGTAAAATATGGTTCAATAAAAATTTAAAAATATTCTTTACTTTCCGGCAATCAGCTAACATAAAAAGTATACCGGAATTAAAAAAAACATAAATTTATATGACTTATGTATTATCTTATGCTCACATATATTAATTTTCTTGTAAAAGTTCTCATAAAAAAGTCCAGGAGCCGAATGAAAAAGAAGGTTTTTATATTAGATATGTCTGTATTTCATTTCCGTAATAAGGGTAAAAGGAAACAATAAATAAAATATGTATTTCATTATGAAAAATGTCTTTAGTTGTGTCTATTTTAAAAATTTAATTATTTACAAACCTGTCAAAAGCATGTTTCTATGATTTAATTCAAGAAAATTCGGAATTGTTCAAATTGTAGTAAAATAGGTGAATTCTAACCTAAAAGCGCATACTTCCTGCCAAATGCACCTGGAAATGCTCGCGGCCACGTTCCGCATCCGGCGCCTAAAAGTATACAATGAATTTTAGCTTCCGGCAGGGAAAAAAAATTCTGCGGGCGCCACCTGCTCCACGGTTATGGGCGCCTGGTGGAAAATGGGAATTTTAGCAACCGGACGGCGGTCGTCGAGTACACTGAGAAAAAATTTTGTGGAAAAATTAAAATTTTTTGCGGGAACCGCTGCTCTGCCATTATGGGCGCCTGGTGGGAACTGTGAATTTTAGCAACTGGGCCGGCGGTCGTGGAGTACACTGAGAAAAATTTTAATGGAAAATTTAAAAATTTTTGCGGCGGCCAACTGCTATGCGATTATGGGCGGCTAGTGGAAATCGGGAATTTTAGCAACCGGACCGGGGGTCGTCGAGTACACTGAGAAAAATTGTAGTGGAAAATTTTAAAAAAATTAGGGAGCTGCCTGCTTCCCGATTATTATTAAAAAAGTTTTTGATATTTTTTGCTTAACCATGACTCCATTTTCGGCATGTTATAGTTATTTATTAATTTGGCGAATGCAGTTATATTTTTCTAACAAACCTTAGGTGATTAAAATATATTACATTTTTGATATATGGATTTTTATCAGGACATATATATGTAATATGGTATTTTATGATACCTCATATACTTATCAATTTTTTCATAAAAAATAAATACCACCAAAAAGTATTTTGTACGCAAACATTTATTTATGTTTTATTTTATTTGTCATTAAATAAATTTAAAAATATTAAATTTAAAGTTTTAGTTAGGCTGCGTTTCACCAGATTCATTTAAGTGAAAATTACTTAAATTTTCGAATTTTTGGTTCCACCAATCAATTTAATTTGTTTTTGATTTTGACCTAATTTTGACCCATACTCTTCACTTAAATAAAAATTAAATCAGAATAACCGCATTCAGATATGTTACACGTTTAAACAGCTGATCAATATACACACATCACAATTTTGTGTATCTGCTGCTTGTGTGTATACCAGCCCTGCTTTTACAACAGAGCGTGCCAACGCTGTCAAAAGCTCTTAGTACAAATGAAAGCTTTCGCTGGATAAGTCAGTTTTACAGCCACTTTTTACTCACTTAAAAAAAGAGCTTATTGAAACTGATACATAATTTAAATGAGAATTAAATAAAAAATTAAATTAAAGTTAATTTCAACTTAAATGAGTTTGGAGAAACGCAGCCTTAAAATAAAAACTGTTAAAATATGAGTAAACTTAGCTGTCATATGTGCGTAGATATATACATATACATGTATAACAGAGAATCACTGAATTAATAGAGTGTGGTTGCACAGTATAATGTCCGTAGTAAAGCAAAGTAGAACGAATTAAGCTCCCGGCAAGTTTACACGCATATAAGCTGCGGTTAGTCGCGTTGGCGTTGGCGTTGATTAACAGCTTACTATGAATACACACAATTAAGCTGAAATTAGTCAAGAACGTAAACCTACCGGTACGTAAACCCGAGTCAGCTGACACGACAATAAAATACACACGGTTGCCATGACAGCCAGCATGAACTTTGCAAATGCAATTCCAACTGCAAACCCCAGTCCATTTCCACATCCCGAACAGCCCTATCGTGTCTGTATATTTAGCCCTGAAGATTACCTCAGATTGGAGGTCGAAATATCGACAATTAAAATATCAATAGAAAGAAAATTTGCGTTTTATTCAATTGCTGGGCCTCGAGCTTGTTAAAAATGATTCATAATTTAAAGTTTAAAGGCCAACAACAAAAACAAAATATGTTTTCCTTGAGATGTGAGAATAACAAGCACAACAAATTTGACAGTTAATAATCTGAGATTTGTCTGTGTAGACAAGCTGATTAAAAAACGAGCTTTAATTAAGATTGTATTTATATGTAAACTTACTTTACATACTAACACTTTAGACTATTTATTGTTTCTTCTCAGAACAAAAAAAAATAAGTTTTTATATTTAATCCCTACTTTTTTCCGCTAATGGACCAGAATAACTTTAATCTAAAGAAAAATAGATAAGCTGGCAACACTGTTAACACTGAGTTGCACTCCGAAGAAAATGAAAAATTTTAAGATTTTCGTAAAACGAGAAAGGCTACATTTATAAAAATTTATGTAATATTAAAAAATTTACGCTTTCGAAGGGTCACATTTACACGCATATACAAACATGCGTCGATACATATTTAGCAGAGAAAGTACAAGTAATTCCAAAAATCGCAAAATTGGTATCCCTATGCAGTTGTCAAAAGTGAAATCACGATAAAAATGCAATGGGCGTTTAACAGTGAATAAAACAATTTTTTTTTAAAGAGTTGTATTTGTTGAAAAAGATTGAAATTAAGAATATTTAAAAAACCAACGTAAGCACAAGTGGAGTAAGTTAACGTTACAAGTAAAGTGCGAAGAATTGCTCATTATTTGTTCCGTAAACGCGCACGGACATTCTCTACGCATTATTATCGCTTTTTTGTCTATATACACTACCAACCGCCCACCACCCAATTCCTACAATCTTTTTCATACTGCTGAGGCCACTAAAAAATTATAATTCACAATGCCAAATTTTGTGGTATTTCATAGTGCTTTCGGGCAACTGCATCAATTAAACTTAATTAAATGTAATTGTAGTGCTATGGTGGCGGAGGTAAAGAGTATATTGGGGCGTTGAATGAAGCGTTGCACTTATTATATGTATTACTTATCCATATTATTTATGTATAAAGTATTGTAGTGATGCAAGCTAAGGAAAGGCAAGCATAATTTCTTTCATCGACTACTTTGATTCTAGATATGGATAAGTAAAAATACATTTCTGGATAAATATTTTCAAATTTAGATAACATCAATTTTAATAAGTTAATAAAATTTAATTTGTCTAGGATAAAGCGCATAATCACTACAAATAAACGGCGTAAGTCTACAAATAGCATTGCAATGCCACCATTGAAGACCTACTCGCCGCACAACGAATTCAATGCAAACTGTCATAATGGTAATAGTACCACTAACGCTGGGGATGGTGAAAGTAATACATCAACAGCTGCCTCAGCGGCAGCATCAACCATAACTGACGCATGCGGCGCTATGAGCAATGCGGGTGCACAACGCAATACTCTACCTTGTTATAGCAACGCACAATTTCCATTCAAAGTGTTGGCTAATTTAAATCAACTGCGGGCAGAATCTCGTTTTTGCGATGTGGAAATAGTTGCTGGTGGCATTACATTCAATGCTCATCGTGCAGTCTTAAGTGCAGCCAGCGCCTACTTTGAGGCAATGTTCCGGCCAGAGCTTGGTTTAAATGAAGTAAATCAGAAATCTGTAGTATTGCACACTATAGATGGTGAAATTTTGAGCATTCTGCTGGATTTCATATACACAGGGCGCTGTGAAATTACACAGGTTTGTAATAAACTCTTCCGTACCTATATGCATATACGTATGTATGTACAAGTAAATTTGCATTATTAATTTAAACTTTATAAGCGCCATTTTTTTTTTAATTCAAAGCTCAACGGATTTAAACTTTTTTCCTTAAAAATCTTATATGGAGGAGAGGTTTTATGTATATATATACTTGCAGTGACTCAAACAAGTGACCATGTGTTGATTTTTTAAATATCTATTTCTAATGTTTTTCGAGGTAAATTTTGTTTTGTTATTTTTCTATAAATATACCGTCCATGCTTTAACCAAAACCATACACACTGTTCCTGAATTAGTTAAAAGTTCACTAAAACGTACGACCTACCGTAAAGAGCGAAATACACCACACAAGCGGTTTGACAAACCAAGCGAAATTTCCCTTTGCTTCAAGCAATTTGTGCTGTGTATGGGGGTGTTTGAAGGTTTGACAAACCGCTTGAGGGAAATTTGAGCAAAAATCAAAATTTTTTGATTTTCTGGCCGCCATGTTGATGTTTGATGAAACCGCTTGCGTTGTGTATAGCAAAATCGCCTCGTTCGCAACGAAATTTTCACCGAGTAAGGACGTAAGAGAGGAAAATGAAAGAAAACCATAATATTTAGCATTGCGAAGTGGAAGAAAACTAAAATTCTTTGCTTGAACGAGTCATGTTTGCATGGTGTATGGCGAAATGGGAAAAGTAGGTTTGAAAAATGTTTGACAAGCCGCTTGTGTGGTGTATTTCGCTCTTTAGTTGAGCTTGACGATAATGATTAAAAGTTGACCCGAAACAGGCGGGGCTTAGTAGTGCCGCTACAACAACAACAACAACAAAAATTGAAAATGCAACTTGGTTCGTTATCACCTACGTAACCAAAATCCAATTTCACCAAAATCGTATCAGCCTTTTTTTGCGAAATATTGACGTTCAAGAATTATAAAAATTTCACAACAAATTTATGTTCTCATATTTTTTTTTAATTCGTTGGGTATAATTAAGATAACAGTTATAAGTAACTATCTGAACAGCCCTTGGCTCTTTAACACATAATTCTTTTGCAGAGAAATCGTTAATAATGTATTTCTTGTTTTAATTTATTTTTAATAAATATTGTTAGCGTTTCAATACGTTCTGATTAAATAAGTAATTGTGTAATACAATCCGGGACTGAAATTGTGTGTAGGCAAGTTGAGTTTTATTTACAAATATACAATACACCATGTCGTATTACCTAAGTCATGAAGAAAACATAAAAAAAGTATCTGCACCATGTGGAAGAAAAATACTGTTGGGAAAAAAGAAAGTCGAATTTGTTCAATTGACTGAAAAATGCTTTGATCTCAGGGGCGCACCCAGGAATATATTTTGGGAGGGGTTTATACTTCTATAGATATATCACCAGAAAATACTGAAAATTCGCTTCAGATAATATGCTCTAAATACATTTATGCAAGTTTTATGTACAGTATGTAATAAATAAATACAATTTTTATATAAAACAAAGAACTCAAACATTTTTAACCGACTTCAAAAAAGCGGGAGGTTATCAATTCGTAGGATTTTTCTTCTTTTATATATGCTATCGCATAACTTTGGACCACGTGAACTTATTTCTATAATTCTTTTTTTGGTCGGAAAGATGGCACCTCGCGGGTCGTTCCGTAATTTGGTTTATATCCGATCATTGGATCATGAAAAAATTAACGGTACTCTTAAATTTGTATATGAGAATTAAAGTCGGATGTGTTTTTTGCTTAAAAATTACTTGTTTAATAAAAAGTTCTTTAAACACAAGATGCGCTCAACTTTCAAAAGTAATAAAAAATGTTAAATAAAATAATATAAAAAAAAATATTTTTTTTTAAGAAGCTTTTATTTAACATGTATGTACAATCAAAAGAATAAAGTAAAATAGTGTAACAAAAGATTTTTTACTAAGAAAATTTTGTTAAAACTGCACCAAAATGAATAAAATATAATAAGTTAAGTTTTCATTAGAGCTTTCCTTTCACTATTTGGCTTTTAGTAATTTTAACGAAAGCTTTACTTGTTTTATTCATTTTATTGCAGGTTTAACAAATTCGAACTATGTGGTAACGAGCCAAGGGCTGTTCAGATAGTTACTTATAACTGTTATCTTAATTATATCCCATGGATTAAAAAAAATACGAGAGCAAAAGTTTGTTCTGAAATTTTTATAATTTTGCAATTCTTGAATGTCAATATTACGCAAAAATAAGCTGATACGATTTTAGTGAAAATGGATTTCGGTTACGTAGGTGATAACGAACAAAGTTGCATTTTCAATTTTCGTCGTACGTTTTAGTGAACTTTTAACTAATTCAGGAACAGTGTGCATATATGTATGTATGTAACTTCAAACTTTATACAAAATTCGACAAATTTTAATGAAAATTTCAATTTTTTAATCTGGATTTCAAAATGATATTGTTTGCAACTTATGTTTATTTTAGAGATGTCCGATTAATCGTGGAATAAATTTTAATTAGCAATAATCTTTATTAATCAAAAAGTCGGGAGCGATTCTTTCGAATCAGAAAGTTACTTAACATAATTATTCATCAAAGCGCAAAAGTTAGCAATTGCTAAAGTGACGGGTTTTACTGCATTTTAACATCTTAAAATTGTTTAGCAAAATTTTTAGTATTCCCAAAATTAGTGAAAAAATTTGACATCAAATAAGAATGTTATAGCAAGAAGCGCGATTTAGCTGGTTTCTAGCGGGTTAACACCAAAATATTTTTCTCGATAAAGTGTTAAAATTAACACTCAATTTTTTTCTTTCATAAATACATATCTATGTATTTTTAAATTTATTTTTGTTTGTATAACTCTATATAATTAAGAAACTCTTATTTTACTTTGTAGTCAAATGTACAGGAGCTGCTAGCTGCAGCAGATATGCTACAGCTACCGGAAGTTGTGGATGGCTGTTGCGATTTTCTTTGCCGTGAACTGCACTCCACCAACGCATTGGGTATTTTACGCTTCGCAGAAGCTCATAATTGTGAAACATTAAAGAAGAGCGCTTTGAACTATGTCCACTCTAATTTTCCGGCGGTAAGTTTTTGTTTGTATATGTTAATGTGTACTTCTAAGCAGGGATGGTCGTTTTTGAATGAATTATTATTCAAACAAAAAATAAAATTTTATTCATAACAAAACACTTCTTTCAACAATACGAATTTTTCTAAAAACAATTAATTTTTAAGAAAAAAACAAAACCCGATTGAATCCCGTATAAAAATTTAAGATTACCGTTAATCTCTTCATGATTCACAAATCGGATCTTAACCAAATTAGTATGGGAACACCTGTGAGGTATCACCTTTATTTAAAAAAAAAAGAATTATAGAAATCGGTGTACGTGGTCAAAAGTTATGCGCGTAACATAAAAAATAATATTCCAACGAATTGATAGCCTCCTCCTTTTTTTGAAGGCGGTTAAAAATAATTGGATGGATTCAAAAATCATTTAAATTGCAACACAAATTATGGTACGAGTAATTACTTTCTTAATTATTTCCGGTTACTTTTGTTAAAGACAAATACTGGGCTCGAATCGTCACATACGATATAGTATTTGCTGATCATGTAAGAACACCTTTTTCGGATTATGAGAAAATGCAAATAATCATTATAATTAACAATGGCAACTAATTATAATATTATTAGGTTAAAATTAAATTTAAAAGGCTGCAAACAGAAGAAAAAAATTTCCGCTATTTTGCGTAATTCAATTGTTTCCGGCCGGGTTCGAACCGGCGACCTTGTGCGTGTGAAGCACACGTGATAACCACTACACTACGGAAACCGGTGAGTGCCGGCTGACATTTTATGCATTTCAACTTTGATTTTTTTAAGGATGGACATATTGGGTCTTTTGCATTTTTATAAGATTTTTTTTTTTAATAATTTCCCTTTAGGAGTTGANTTAAGGATGGACATATTGGGTGTTTTGCATTTTTATAAGATTTTTTTTTTAATAATTTCCCTTTAGGAGTTGGAGGTGGTCGAAGCTATTGTTGGAAATTCGCACCACAGAAAGCTGATACGAATAAATTTAAATTTCGATTTGGAGTGCATAATTTTAATACAGAGATTTGTTCATTCTATTAATAAATTTTCCAAAATTTGTAGATCTACATTTCATAATTTTGATTTGAAAAGCACTACATCGTTATCCCTTTCTTCACAGATAACCCTTGAAGACGAATTCTTAGACACACCACAAACTCTGCTGGCTCAGTTGCTCACTTCTGAGCAGCTGCGTGTCGATTCGGAGTCCCAAGTTTTCCAAGCAGCTTTGCGATGGATAAAGCATGATGTTACCCAACGTCGCTGTTATGTCTTCGATACATTGTCGCATGTGCGGCTAGCTCTCGTTCCCGTCAAAGTAATCGATCAGGCTTTGAAAGACTGTCGGGATATGTCAGTTAAAATTGCCTTGCGTTCCATTTGTCGCGACATCGCATCGAAGCGAGGTCAATTGGTGCCACTGCGCGTTTGTCCACGCCAACAAGCCAAAAAGAATATTTATATTATTGGTGGCTCCAGACGTGAGTCTCAGCGTGATTGGACACCATCCGATTGCATTTTCGAAACAGTTGCGAAATTCGATATCTTTAGACGTGAGTGGTCAGAAACGGCACCCATGGAAATCGGTCGCATTTTACCTGGCGTGGCGGCGTTAAATGGCAAAATATACGTAATTGGCGGTGAGCGGGGCTCACAAATCCTTGCTAATGGTGAGGTATATGATCCGCAAACCGATGCCTGGACACCCATTGCACCAATGATTGTGCCTCGTTGTGAATTTGGCTTGTGCACAATCGGTGGAACACTGCTGGCGGTGGGCGGCTGGTTAGGCGATGATATAGGCGGTTCCATTGAATGTTACGATCCAGAAAAGGATGCCTGGAACAAGTTGGGCGATTTACCAGAACCGCGTTTTAGCATGGGCGTAGTCAGTTTCGAAGGGCTTATTTACATTGTAGGTGGGTGCACAACTTCCAGTCGCCATTTGCCAGATTTAATAAGGTAAGTAAGGTAATCTTGCATTCCGACATTAAGATGTGGAAGGTGCATTCAAATTTCACTGGCTCAATCATAATATACTTCTCTTTAACAGTTTTAATCCAATAACTCAAGATTGGCAACCGATGGCGCGAATGCGCACGGCACGCTGTCAAATGGGCGTCGCTATTCTCAATCGTTATCTTTACGTTGTGGGTGGTAACAGTAGCTCCCAAGATGTGTTGAGTACCGTTGAGCGTTATAGCTTCGATGAAAACAAATGGGAAAGTGTCTGCTCGATGTCGGTGCCACGAGCTATTCCCGCTGTAGCAGCCGCAGATGGCCTCCTCTATGTGGCTGGTGGGGATCAAGTGAGTTAATCATTTTTTTTTTTATTCACAATGAACACAAGTTTTCCAACATTTGTTTAATTTTCCCCAATGCAGCCATGCGAAGATAATTTTTATCGCGCTCATATTACAATCAACGCCGTGGAAGCGTACGATCCGTTGACTGATACTTGGAAGAATTGTCCCGATTTACCCGTAGGGCGCTCGGAGGCTGGCGCTGTTGTTGTTTAACGTCGGTCCATGCATATCTCCGTGACAATTGTGGGCAATAACAACTGGATTTGTATTGTTGTACTTCAAAATTATGAAACTGTCTTCAAAACGTTTACTATCTGTATCTGTAAAATTAAGCTTACACCTTTTTCGAACTTTTTCGCCCCCATCAAATATGCTCATAAATTTTTTTCATAAACACTGTACTAAATTGGGTATTTGCATTTTATAAAAACCCTACTCCTGTTTATTATTTTTTTTTTTTTTTGTAGAAAAACTGCACAAAACATGTCAATGAACTCAAATTAACCTCGCGCTTTTAAACATATACATACGTCTACAATGTCATTTGATATTTCAGTTCAAACTTTTTTTAAACCAAAGGCCTGATTTTATAAAAACTTATTTCTGATAGTGAAACCTTTAGTTTTAAGACCGTTAAAAAGTTCACTTGAGTGTGCGATTACGCAAATCTCGAAAAAAATATTTTTTATTAGAGTTGGCATTAAAGGCTTCCATTTATAATAATTTAAATGAATATGTCAAAACATGCATATGTCAAAACATGCATATGTCAAAACATGCAACTCGAAATGAAAAACTAATAAATCGATAAAAATATCAGTAAAATTTTCCTTAAACCGCATGACGTACATGTTAATTCTATAGTATATACTGATAGCTGATGTTATTAAAAGATGTGACGTGTCTAATATATTGTAGTTAAGAAACACAAAAATCTAAAGAATTTGTATGTATGTATGTATGTACATACACTGGCAACCAAACCCGAGTGCATTTACATTTTATTACTTACAGTAACATAGCTTTTTAATAATAAGCAGATTGCGTTGAAATTTTCAGCAATTGGTTCTTATTATCCAAAGAATTAAGCCTAGTATATAGAAAAGCTAAGCGTAAACAAGAAAAAATCGATTCGCAGCAAAAGCCTAAGGCAACTGTATTCACTCAGTTTTGAACTTTTCTGTTTCGGGACTTTTTAAGGTTGATACCAACAGGATTGTGGAGACTCCCCTGTTTGTAATCGCAATTATCATAAGTCCGAGAAGGCTCTTGACCACAGCGCAAAATTTTTCGATGGCGTTGAGATCTGGACTTTGTGCGAGTAACATAGAAGTACGTTGGATGCGAGTAAAATTATAATGGGATAATATTTCAAGCGAAATCATAGAAAACTCAGTAGAGAGCATTCTCGGACTTATGAAAATTATGATTACAAACAGAGGAGTTGCACAATCCTGTGGGTATCAACCTTCAAAAATCACAAAACAGAAAAGTTCAAATATGGGTGAATAGAGTTGCCTTATGTTTTTGTTATGAATCGCTTATTTCTTGTTTAAGCTTAGCTTTTCTGTATACTAGGCTTTATTCCTTGGATATCAAGGGCCAATTGCTGAAAATTTCAAAGCAATCCGCTTATTATTAAGAAAGTTATGCTACTGTAAATAATAAATTTGGTAAATGCTCTCGGTTTTAATTGACAGTGTATATTAAATGACAACTTTTTAAAACGATTGAAAAAACTCTGCAAGATACATACATACTTCTCATATAAATTATATGCATGTATGTAGATTAGGGTGGTCCAAAAATGCATATAGTCCTTTTTTAATGCTCTCACCTCCTAGAATTATTCTATAGCGAAAAAATATACCCGTTTTTTTATTTCGAGATCAAAAAATATTTAAGAGGTCGCTCAAAGCGCTCATAGTATTCCATGTATTTAATATGGGGAAAAACCAATGTCGTTGTTCATACTTGCCAGGTTATCTGGTTAAAAATTGTAACCTGAATAAAAAATATAACCACATAACCAGATAACCTGATAACCAGGCAAGCGTGAACAACCACACTATTTCGTAGAAACGGTATAGAATTATTGAAAATCAATATTTTTGGATCAGAAAACTTTGTTTCTTTTCAGGAGACTTCCAATAATAATACCCAATTGTTTATTTTGCCATGTTCTAGTACTAACGATTTTTCATGGGTCCCCCATTGCATTTTTTTGGTTGATTTTCAGGAATTTTACACAATTTCTACGAAGAATTGCTTTTTTTTCTTCATAAAAAATACATGGAGAACTTTGAACGCTTTGAGCGACCTCTAAATATTTTTTTTATTTCAAAATAAAAAACGGGTATATTTTTTTGATATAGAAAAATCCCAAGGGTGGGAGCATTAAAATTCCCACTTTACTTATTTTGGACCACCCTAATGTGCATACATTGGTCAAAAAAAATATAGCCTCGCCACATTTTGACAAGTTTTAATATATTATTTTTGTTGTTATTTAGTTTTGGTTATTTTTTTATAAAAATATACTTCATGCTTTAACCAAACCCGTGTAAATCCAAGTTTTAAACTTTGTGCAATATTAAAAAGAAATTCAAAAAACTCGTAAAAATTTCTTNTAACAAAACCCGTGTAAATCCAAGTTTCAAACTTTGTGCAATATTAAAAAGAAATTCAAAAAACTCGTGAAAATTTCTAACTTTTTTAATTAAATTTCGAAATTAAATAACAATAAAAATAATATGTTAAAACTTGACAAAATGTGGTGCGGCTATAATTATTTCGACCACTTATGTATGTACATATCTATATTTGTGCTATTTTTTTTTTTAAGTATTACGATTCTTTTTGCCTTTGCCCTTACAGTAAAAGGTCTACAGCTTAATAAATAAAATAAACAGCTTTTGTTAATCAAAATTAAAAAAAAAAAAACCATACGACTTATNTTTTTTTTTTTTTAAGTATTACGATTCTTTTTGCCTTTGCCCTTACAGTAAAAGGTCTACAGCTTAATAAATAAAATAATCAACAGCTTTTGTTAATCAAAATTAAAAAAAAAACCATACGACTTATTTTAATTGATTATTTGTTATGAATTGTAATATGTAGTTAATAAACATGCTGATAAGTAGTATATTCTATAAAACGTATAATTAATCAATAAAATTTATTGCCACATAAAATGTACCAAACAACAGAACGCAGTAAACAAACACTTAATATAAGTATTATAATTATCACTAGCTGTAAGTTACCAGTAAAAACATACATACTTATAATAAACATGTGCATAAGATGTAAAATTAAAATTAATGTGTTTAATTTCAATTTAATAAAACACGCAATGTACCTTAAAGATGAACGGAGCAGTTGATCCGATTAAAATTGTACCCTGACATACGGCAANTAATAAACATGTGCATAAGATGTAAAATTAAAATTAATGTGTTTAATTTCAATTTAATAAAACACGCAATGTACCTTAGATGAACGGAGCAGATGATCCGATTAAAATTGTACCCTGACATACGGCAATGCTGCTGACCAACGCGTCGTCACATCGTGGGTCGAGTCCCACTGCCAGTAGTTTTCATTTATTTTTATTTTTTTGTTCATTCATTATAACTTATGTATTTTATTAATGTTGTTTTTATTTAGTTTTTGTTGACTTTTTAATAAAATTAAACTTCTAAAATGAAATAAAGTAACATAAATAAAAACAAATATAAAATATAAATAAAAAAAAAATTATCGCTGGAACCGGGGAACGAACCCGGGTGCTACGGAATTTTAGTACACACTACAGCGTATGCAAACCCGACAGATTTGTTTACTTATTTGAGCAACAGACAGACCATTTTAGTCAATTTGTGGCATATCCAATACTCCAAGTACTTAAAAAGTGATCCTCTGCATGCTGCAGCGGACCAACTCGTGTCTTTGCACCAGCTTATTGTTACCCGATCCCTGCTCGTGTTTTAAGGAAAAGTGATTTAAATTAAATATTTGCTCATTAGCTCTTTGAAGAATATTAAATTAACTGAATTTTATTTTATTTTTGCCACTGAAAACAGGCGTGTTAAATAAATTGTGATTCTATCTTTACTTAGCAATAATGTTCATTGCACAATACCCAGCCCAGGATATTGCCACATCGTCTTCAACAGCGATGACAATAAAATGACTGTCCAGCCAGCAGAGAAACGTGTATTTTGCCGACAGTACGGTTTCGTACAATTCTCTGTGCCCGTAAACGAACTACAATTTTCATTAATTTTCGTATCCGGAAAACGTTCAAAACATTCGAAAAAGATAATCAGGCAGATTCTGTAATTCACTTACCGAGTGAATTTCAACCCCTGTCAATTTGAATTCAAAGCGGTCTTGATTGAAATTCACTCCGAAGTGAATTGCAGAACCTGCCTTGATGTTATTTGAAAGCATTATGGACCTGTTCGAGGTACGTAATAAAAGCGGCAGTGTGGAATACCGTCAGGCACTTACTTATTTTTTTTTTAACCATGAAAAAGCATCTGTGAAGTGCAGAAGTAAAGCGTATTGAACGAAAAATTCAGTAAGAAAAATTTCAGAAAAACAGCCAAAAACGTATCCGTTTCAAAACAATTTTCGGTTCTAGTTTGCACATATGTATATGTATTTCTGCCGCACTCCTTAGGGGAAAAAACGGATCGCAAAGTATCCCACAATGGAATCGGTAAACGAACAAAAATCCGCAGTTCATCCACTTGTTTCCCTTTTTTAAGTTTTCTTTGTTTCAGCAATTCGGACCCAAGACAAAAATTAAAAATTGCATGTTGCCTCTGACGGCATTCGAACCCGAACATGTTGGGGGCTAAGAACTAACAGCGAGCATCTCTACACGTTCAGCTACAGCCAGACATGCAAATACGCTTTCAAATGCTCAACTTCAATCACATTTCGTTAAAACACGTACAGTGATCAGATAACAAACAATAAGCTGGCGCAGAGACCCGAGTTGGTCCGCTACAGCATGACAGAGGAACACTTTTGTAAGTACTCCAATATACCACAAATAGACTACATGGTCCAACGATTTTTGCAGGGTGGATTCGAGTCCCACGGCCAAGTGAATTTTCATTTATTTCGTTTTCATTCTTGTTTTTTCATAAGTTCTATATTTTTTTACGTTGCTTTCAGTTAGTTGTTGTTGACTTTTTATTAAAATTCAACTCTAAAAATTTTAAATAACTGATAGTAATATAAAAAATGTGATATAAAATAAAGCAAATGAAAACAAAATGAAGTAAAATTAAATATATAGATACAATAAAATAAAAAAAATATAAAATAAATAATAAATAATAAAACAAAAAAATTTTCGCAATCGCTTGTAGCCCGTAATATGGTAGACAGACGGAGAAAATTAATTTGAATTAATAAGCATAAATGCAAATTAAAATTTTACCCTTACAGACGGCAGTAATGCGAATAAACCAGCCGCAAGGTCGTGGGTTCGAGTCCCAGTATACTTTTTTTTATTTCTTTTTCATTCTTTTTTTTATAAGTTCTATATTTTTTTTACGATACTTTCAGTTAGTTGTTGTTGAATTATTAACAAAATTCATTTCTAAAAATTAAAATTAACTAATAGTAAACTAAGAAATGTGATATAAAATAAATCAAATGAAAATAAAATAAAGTAAAATTAAATATATAGATAAAATAAAATAAAAAAATATAAAATAAATAATAAAAACAAAAAACGTTTCGAATCGCTCCAACCGAGTATCGAACCTAGCAGCTACAGACCTGCAGCTCGCAACTCTCACCACTCGGCTACCGCGGACGCGGAACCCGCGCGCTTTGTTTGCTTACTTGTACAAAAGACAACAACTGGCCGTTTTTACCAGTGTTGTCAACGAAAACTGCCCGGATCCGAGTTAATTCCCAAAAATTTCGTGCATTTGTTCGGCTGCTTATGCGCATTTTAAAGAGCAAAATGCGTGAGTGAAAGCAAATAAAGGCTGTTTATGCAAATAATCGAGCCCGTTTGTTAACCGTACTAGACCACGTCGGAAAAAAAAATCCCGCAATGCGACCGGCATAACACGGTCCTGCCGGTTCGATCCTCGGTTGGAGCAATTGCGGAAAAGTTTTTTGTTTTTATTATTTGTTTTATATTTTTTTATTTTATTTAACAATTTTAGAGTTGAATTTTATTAAAAAGTCAACAGCAACGTAAAAAAATATAGAACTTAAAAAAAAAAAAACAAGTAAGAGCAGCGCTATGCCGAAGGCTTCATACCTTTCATGAACATCTGAAAATTTTTCTTTCACAGCTTTCACTTTCACATAGACAGAGGAGATACATGCATATATAAAATATCATATTTAAACAATCAGAGGTATGATATACCTTATATAGCACCAATCTAAGTGATTTTCACTGCTGTGTGATCGGTATGTAAACCGAATTTCTCAGTAGACTTTGTATTATTATTTATAAAATAGCTTACGAAATTTATCGACTTTAGCTGTCCAAATAAAGGAGTTTTACAGTAAAGCCCTATATCTGAACAATCAGTTTTATGGAGGCAATAAATATGTTATAGTGACCCGATCTTTGTTAATTTTACTGTAAACGTTTTGTTGATAATGAGTGAAAATTGTGCGGAATTTCATGTTTCTAGCTGCATATATGGAGAAAATATAACAAAGAATATCATATCTAAACAATCATTTGTATGAAGACTATAGGTTATAGCGACCCGATCTTCGCCATTTTCACTGTAACTATTTTTATGATAATGGGTGGGAATATTGCGAAG